ACTCTTACCTCAGGAGCCATCCAGTAAGGGGTGCCAACAGAGGTGTTGCGCCTGCCCAGGGTTGCCACCAGGTGAGAAGACACTCCATAGTCCACCAGCTTCACATCTGCCTGGTCAGTGAGGAGAATATTGTGTCCCTTGATGTCTCTATGCATGCAATGGTTGGCATGAAGATAAGCTGCAGCCTGTGACAAAACAAAAGAAAAGAATAAAACAAAAAAATAAATCCCTGATATTTTGGTTGTTGTTCATTTGTCTCTTTTTTATTCTCTCTCTCTCTCTCTCTCTCTCTCTCTCTCTCTCTTTTATACTCTACACAGTGGACTTCATGCCTGGGAAGTGGAACAGACAGGTAACGGTGCTTCTCCAAGCTTGGTTTCCTATCACTGCTTACTCCCAGTCATCCATCTTTTTTTTCTTTTTTTTTAAACCCTCCTGAACTCACTCTCTCTCCCCCCTTCTTTGTTTTCCTTTTTCTCCTTGTGAACTGTTCTCAGGATTCCCACTGCAAAGTCAGTCAACCCTGTTGTTCATTTGTCACTGGAGTTCCCCCCTCTCCCTCTCTCTCTCTCTTTACATGGTGTAATTACTGCTGAACCACTCAGGCATGTTAAGAACCACTTTGGACACTTTTTAAGAAAAAAAAAGCAAGGACATTTTCTTTTGGGATATTTAATCAATCTTGAAGAAAAATAAATAATGGGTTGGGTATATACAGTGCTACAAAAAGGGTTTTAGTGGTTCCATGTTATTAATAAAGAATTAATTTCTTGTGATGCAGTCAGGTGAAGATTTTTGATTTTTCAAGAGACACATATGCATTTTTTTGAAGATATTTCATCAAGACCTGAAACTATTCATTTTTTTATGTGGAGAGTATTTCAAAGTTTTCAACACTTGCCAAAAAATATCTGAAAAAAAACTCAGCAATGAGATAAATGGTATTTAAAAGAAAAAAAAGCTTTTGTAGTCTAATGCTATGAAGAACTTGACTAAATTTTAAAAATGATTTAAATAACCCAATACCTGTGACCAATCTGCAAAAATTAGCAATTTCATCAATTTTATTCAAGAGGCAAAACAACTGAAAAATTATTTATGCAGCACAAGTGCAGTGTAAAAAAAAATGAACTAAGTTTGAAAAATTAAAACCCCAAAACCTTGATACATAGAAAAAATTAAAAAAAAATATTGTTTGAGGAAAAAAGGTCACTTTGTTTAAGCAGCTTTGTGCTGTAAACTGTTGTGGCTCTTTTCTTGTGAATTATGAGTCATATTTTATATTTACTCACCATGACAGTGCTTTTGAGGATGTAAGCAATCTGAAGCTCACTAAGCTTCTCATCTCTCTTGAGGAGAGCCATGACAAGTTCTGTGACAGAACCTCCAGAGCATAACTGAAAAAGAAAATAAGGAGACCATAGCAAAATATTATTCAACTTGACCTGGATTCACACATGCATGCAACTAATTTTTCATCCTACTTCTAATTCTGGCATAGATTCATGGTGTGGTTTCT